CCATTAATCACACAACCACGGCCGATGGAATTTGCAACCATGGCCATGAATCAAACAATTAAGAACCACGGCCGAGGTAACATGTTACCCCGGCCATTAATCACACAACCACGACCGTGGTCATAAACACCCCGGTCACGAATCGACAAAATGGACCATGGTCGTGAGCCGATCAAGGTTATCTGTATGCAACCGACCTAAAACCACGGCCGTTAATCATAAAACCATTGACCACAGCCATTAAACGAATAAACACGACCATGAATCATTGACTTATGTAACTTCTTTTACCCACAAAAATACTGAAAAATTCAGAAATTCCATTTACTCTAACTAAATACATCATATTCTAGATGAATCGAAAACAATATTATGAACCAATAAAAAACTAACCTCGTTCAAGGTGTCAGAGATGAAAAATTGACTTCCTTTAATGGATTCAAGATGTGAAAAATGTTGGAAAAGGTATGGAAGTTCTTCAAAACCACGTGAAAGATGTGCTTCTGGACAATACGGACTGAAACATATTTTTATTCTCTGCACTCGGTGAGAATGTGTGGGTATATAATAAATGATAGTACAAAAATTTGGTGGGGAATTATTAAGTTGGTGGTACTTGAATAAATTCATGGCCATGAATCAAGTGGAACTCGCCCATGGTTTTAATTACACCAACCTACGTGATTCCTTGCCAGATTTGTTGTAGTTCAATTCATTTGGAGGTATATCCGTAATTACAGACTCTCTGAAATGTCAGAAAAGTTAAAATTGGGTCAGTTGAGTCAATTTTTATAATTTAGGTCATTTGAGTAAAATGGAAACTTTTTCAGGTCAATTGAGTCAATTTCCCTTCATCTTTGGGAAGAATCTTATAAATGTTGATATTGCAGCTGCATATCCATTTTCAAACCTCAAAATTTGGTAATAATTTTTCATTACAAGCAATTATTTGAGAGGATAGTAGGGATGACAACGGAACAGGGTGGGACCGGGGAGGCCATCCCCATCCCCGCCCCGTTGGGGATTTTTTCCCCTATTCCCACCCCCGTCTTCGAAATTTTGGGGGTGGGGATTCCCCCGATTGGGGACGGGTTCCCTTATAAATATATTTTTTTAATTTTTAAATTTAAATTTAAATTTTTTTAAATTTTTAAATTTAAATTTTTTTAAATTTTTAAATTTAAATTTAAATTTTTTTAATTTTTTAATTTTTTTAATTTTTAAATTTAAATTTAAATTTTTTTAATTTTTTAATTTTTTTAATTTTTAAATTTAAATTAATTTTTTAATTAGTTTTTTGTTATTATTAGTATAAAAAGTGAACAAAAAGTGGCTTGGGGGCATTAGCTTGATTTAAAAAAAATTAAAAAGTATTTATAAAATTAATATGTCTTCCTCGGCCCGTTGGTTTTTATGGTGTTAGACGGTGGCCGAGTTTTGAGGAATCTGATGCTGATAGTGTTATTGTGGCTGATAAAATCAAAAGAAACAATGTTATATATGCTCAGTGACTTGGTTATCAAGATGTTTCAAAGAGTTTTCAGACACTGAATTGGAGAGAGTACCCACTTTACGATCTCTTAGGACAACTCTTCATCTTCGTTGAATCATAGTTCAGAAGACTTCTCTGGTCTAGAGGCAAGGACAACGGAGTACAAGATGAGTGATGGTGGAGGTGCAGCAAAGATCGGCTCGAACACAGTTTTAGAATTTAGGGAGGCCGTCAGATTTAACTGAATTGAGATTCGTGACCAGTGTGATTTAGGGAACTTGCTTAATGTATTTTTTATGGTTCTTCCTCCCTTACCTCTTATGATGGATAATAAGGCAATTGTTGAAGAAATTATTCCCTTTCAAATATTGGATACATAAAAGACAATATTTCTCAATTAATTGAAGAGTCTCTTCCAATAGCATTGAATGAAGTTGAAGATGTTGTAAATTTAGATAAGTTGCTTCATGGTCTGAAATGTGTTCCTATTCTTCGTTCTTTGAACAGGCAAGCTATTTTATTCGCCAAGTGTCATTTCTAATTGTTTATCTGTCCTTTTTAGATAGTTGTTTTTCTACATGGATTCTAAATATGGTACGTGATCGCCCCAACCCTGATGTAAACTTTAGTGTACATTTCTTATTAATGTAGTGTTTCTTTGATCTCAAAAAAAAAAAAAAAAGTAAATTTAAACTCTCTGTTATATCATACATATTTATCTTATGCTATTTAAGGTAATTGTTTATAATAATTATTTATAAGAAAAAATTCATAATACAAACAGGAGAATAAATGCGGCATGGTACTACAAATTTTCTCATCCTAAGTAGATAGATAATAAGTTGGTTTCATAATGATCTCATTTTCAGCTTTTTTTTTCTCTCTTTAAAAATCTACTTTTTATTGCAGACACTGTAACGATATGTTATTGCATCTAATAAGATTGGCCTATCATAGGTTATCTTAGCTGTTCAAATAAATAACTGATGAGCTTTATTTTAAGATTTCTTGTTTTAATTTTAACTCTGTGTCTATATTTTCAATTTGAATGTGAAAATGTACTAAACAAAATTGAATGTGAAAAAAAAAAACACCACATTATGAGAAATTATGGAGGCAGAGGATGGATTTCTTTTCGATGAGTTGGAATCAAATCGACATGGGAAGTTTAATTTGATATGGTATCTTCAATTTTAATTTTGATGAAATGGTTAGTTTATATATGAATTTGAGCTATTAAAATATTTGTTTAATCATCGGTACCTTTTATTTGTTTCTCAAATTTGGATTTAGTAGATATGATTTAATACAATTACTTTTTTTTTCTTTTTAACTTGGATGATTGTTGTTGGGATTGGTGGAGTAAAAATGACGTCGAAACGAGTTAGGGATGAGTCGGGATCAAGCCGAGACGCGTCAAGATCGAAGCGGGGATGAAAACAGGAATTCGGAGCGCTGCAAGCCATAAGGGCCGCAGAGGCACCACTACGGCTGTCTTGATGGGTGCGACTGGACTACTTTCCATCCGTAGCGCTATGACGTTTTGTCAAAGTTTATATAAGTGCAGTCTTCTTTTTAGGGTTAGTCCTAGCCGTTTTTGAGACGTTTTTCAGAAGGTTTTCGTGGCAGTTTCAAGGGGCGGCTCGGGCATTGGAAATGACATTGGGATCAAATAAGACCAACATATTCGGGGTAATTAGATCTTGTTTCTTGTGAGTTTTCATCCTTGTTCCTAAGTATAAATTGTGTTAAATACTTAGAACGTGGAGGGCTTTTGTTAGGACCTCTAGGGGATATTTTTTAGGAGACTTTTGTATCATTCTTAACAATTACTAGTGAATTACGCAAATTTGAGTGGAAGAGTGAACGTAGCCCTTAGTGGTGAACCAATATAATTTGGTGTGTCGTTTTCTTGTTCTTTACAGTTTTCTTCCTTATTTGCATACTGTGGTTGTGTGTGGATATTTTCTGTGGAAGGAGAATTATACAGGACTGCTAACTTCCCAACAAGTGGTATCAGAGCTGTAGGGTTGCAGTATCATGGGAGACAAATATCACGTATGCTATTACTCTGAAGGGATTCTGAAGTTCACCGGGGAGAATTTCAGTTTTTTGAAGATGCAAGTAAATAATCTTTTTACGTGCAAGAAGATACACAAGACTTTAGGGGATAAACCAGCAGGGATGACTGACAATGACTATAATGAGATTGATGAGCAAGCCATTGCGAACAT